TCTGATCTGATTTTTATGATTTCTTTCCTTCTGCTAACTCTGGGGTTTTTTTGTTCTTCTTTCTCTAATTGCTTGAGGTGCAAGGTTAGGTTGTTTATTCGAGATGTTTCCTGCTTCTTAAGGTGGGCTTGTATTGCTATAAACTTCCCTCTTAGAACTGCTTTTGCTGCATCCCATAGGTTTTGGGTCGTTGTATCTCCATTGTCATTTGTTTCTAGGTATTTTTTAATTTCCTCTTTGATTTCTTCAGTGATCACTTCGTTATTAAGTAGTGTATTGTTTAGCCTCCATGTGTTTGTATTTTTTACAGCTCTTTTCCTATAATTGATATCTAGTCTCATGGCGTTGTGGTCGGAAAAGATACTTGATACAATTTCAATTTTCTTAAATTTACCAAGGCTTGATTTGTGACCCAAGATATGATCTATCCTGGAGAATGTTCCATGAGCACTTGAGAAAAATGTGTATTCTGTTGTTTTTGGATGGAGTGTCCTATAAATATCAATTAAGTCCATCCTGTTTAATGTATCATTTAAAGCTTGTGTTTCCTTATTTATTTTCATTTTGGATGATCTGTCCATTGGTGAAAGTGGGGTGTTGAAGTCCCCTACTATGAATGTGTTACTGTCGATTTCCCCTTTTATGGCTGCTAGTTTTTGCCTTATGTATTGAGGTGCTCCTATGTTTGGTGCATAAATATTTACAATTGTTATATCTTCTTCTTGGATGGATCACTTGATCATTATGTAGTGTCCTCCTTTGTCTCTTCTAATAGTCTTTATTTTAAAGTCTATTTTGTCTTATATGAGAAATGCTACTCCAGCTCTCTTTTGGTTTCCATTTGCATGGAATATCTTTTTCCATCCCCTCACTTTCAGTCTGTATGTGTCTCTAGGTCTGAATTGGGTCTCTTCTAGACAGCATATACATGAGTCTTGTTTTTGTATCCATTCAGCCAGTCTGTATCTTTTGGTGGGAGCGTTTAATCCATTTACATTGAAGGTAATTATCGATATGTATGTTCCTATTCCCATTTTCTTAATTGTTTTGGGTTCGTTATTATAGGACTTTTCCTTCTCTTGTGTTTTTGTCTAGAGAAGTTCCTTTAGCATTTGTTGTAAAGCTGGTTTGGTGGTGCTGAACTCTCTCAGCTTTTGCTTGTCTGTAAAGGTTTTAATTTCTCCATCAAATCTGAATGAGATCCTTGCTGGGTAGAGTAATCTTGGTTGCAGGTTTTTCTCCTTCATCACTTTCAATATGTCCTGCCACTCCCTTCTGGCTTGCAGAGTTTCTGCTGAAAGATCAGCTGTTAACCTTATGGGGATTCCCTTGTGTGTTATTTGTTGTTTTTCCCTTGCTGCTTTTAATATGTTTTCTTTGTATTTAGTTTTTGACAGTTTGATTAATATGTGTCTTGGCGTATTTCTCCTTGGATTTATCCTGTATGGGACTCTCTGTGCTTCCTGGACTTGATTAACTATTTCCTTTCCCATATTAGGGAAGTTTTCAACTATAATCTCTTCAAATATTTTCTCAGTCCCTTTCTTTTTCTCTTCTTCTTCTGGAACCCCTGTAAGTCGAATGTTTGTGCGTTTAATGTTGTCCCAGAGGTCTCTGAGACTGTCCTCAGTTCTTTTCATTCTTTTTTCTTTATTCTGCTCTGCAGTAGTTATTTCCACTATTTTATCTTCCAGGTCACTTATCCGTTCTTCTGCCTCAGTTATTTTGCTATTGATCCCATCTAGAGTATTTTTCATTTCATTTATTGTGTTGTTCATCATTGCTTGTTTCATCTTTAGTTCTTCTAGGTCCTTGTTAAATGTTTCTTGCATTTTCTCTATTCTATTTCCACGATTTTGGATCATCTTTACTATCATTATTTTGAATTATTTTTCAGGTAGACTGCCTATTTCCTCTTCATTTGTTAGGTCTGGTAGGTTTTTACCTTGCTCCTTCATCTGCTGTGTGTTTTTCTGTCTTCTCGTTTTGCTTACCTTACTGTGTTTGGTGTCTCCTTTTCCCAGGATGCAGGTTCATAGTTTCCGTTGTTTCAGGTGTCTGTCCCCAGTGGCTAAGGTTGGTTCAGTGGGTTGTGTAGGCTTCCTGGTGGAGGGGACTAGTGCCTGTGTTCTGGTGGATGAGGCTGGATCTTGTCTTTCTGGTGGCAGATCCACATCTGGTGTTGTGTTTTGGCATGTCTGTGGACTTATGATTTTAGGCAGCCTCTCTGCTCGTGGGTGGGGTTGTGTTCCTGTGTTGCTAGTTGTTTGGCCTATCGTGTCCAGCACTGTAGCTTGCTGGACGTTGAGTGAAGCTGAGTGCTGGTGTTGAGGTGGAGATCTCTGGGAGATTTTCGCCATTTGATACTACGTGGAGCTGGGAGGTCTCTTGTGGACCAGTGTCCTGAAGTTGGCTCTCCCACCTCAGAGGCACAGCACTGACTCCTGGCTGCAGCACCAAGAGCCTTTCATCCGCATGGCTCAGAATAAAGGGGAGAAAAAGTAGAAAGAAAGAGAGAGAGACAGTGGGAGAGAGGGAGAGAGGGAGAGAGAGAGGGAGAGGGAGAGAGAGAGGAGAAAGAAAGGATAAAATATAGTAAGATAAAATAAAGTTATTAAAATAAAAATTAAGAAAAAAAATTAAAAAAAGACATATAGAACCCTAGGACAAATGGTGAAACCAAAGCTATACAGATAAAATCTCACACAGCAGCATACACATACACACAAAAAGAGGAAAAGGGGAAAAAAATCATAAATCTTGCTCTCAAAGTCCACCTCCTCAATTTGGGATGATTCGTTGTCTATTCATGTATTTCACAGATGCAGGGTACATCAAGTTGATTGTGGAGCTTTTTAATCCGCTGCTTCTGAGGCTGCTGGGAGAGATTTCCCTTTCTCTTTGTTCGCACAGCTTCCTGGGCTCAGCTTTGGATTTGGCCCTGCCTCTGCGTGTAGGTCACTGGAGGGTGTCTGTTCTTTTCTCAGACAGGACGGGGTTAAAGGAGCCGCTGATTCGGGGGCTCTGGGTCCCTCAGGCCAGTGGGAGGGAGAGGTACGGAGAGCGGAGCGCTCCGTGTGTTCTCCCAGGCAAGTTGTCCCTGGATCCCGGAACCCTGGCAGTGGCTGGCTGGACAGCCTCCTCGGAAGGGAGGTGTGAAGAGTGACCTGTGCCTCGGCTCGCGCCCGTCTCTGGAGCTTCTTTAAGCAGCACTCTTAATCCACTCTCCTCACGCTCCAGGAAACAAAGAGGGAAGAAAAAGTCTCTTGCCTCTTTGGCAGCTCCAGACTTTTTCCTGGACTCCCTCCCGGCTAGCCATGGTGCACTGGCCCCTTTAGGCTGTGTTCACGCTGCCAACCCCAGTCCTCTCCCTGAGCTCCGACCGAAGCCCAAGCCTTAGCTCCCAGCCCCGCCCACCCCGGTGGGTGAGCAGACAAGCCTCTCGGGCTGGTGAGTGCCGGTCGGCACCGATCCTCTGTGCGGGAATCTCCCCGCTTTGCCCTCTGCACCCCTGTTGCTGCACTCTCCTCCATGGCCCCGAAGTTCCCCCCTCCGCCACCCGCAGTCTCCGCCCGCGAAGGGGCTCCTAGTGTGTGGAAACCTTTCCTCCTTCACAGCTCCCTCCCACTGGTGCAGGTCCCGTCCCTATCCTTTTGGCTCTGTTTATTCTTTTTTCTTTTGCCCAACCCATGTACGTGGGGAGTTTCTTGCCTTTTGGGAGGTCCGAGGTCTTCTGCCAGCGTTCAGTAGGTGTTCTGTAGGAGTTGTTCCACGTGTAGATGTATTTCTGGTGTATCTATGGGGAGGAAGGTGATCTCCGCGTCTTACTCTTCTGCCATCTTCCCCTTCTCCTCTCCAGGGAATCTTTTAATTAGGTCAGCTTACAGGTTCCTACTGTATTACATTTCACTAGTTGGAGTTGCCTAATTGACATTATTTAAATTTCAAGGCTGTGATAGTGAATGCTACAGTTCACCAGTTTTGTAGTTTAAACATACTGCCCTCAACCCCCGTGTGCCTCACTTTTGCCTGTCTATAAAATAGGGATAACAGGAAGCTCGACTCAGGGTTGTTGTGAGGATTAAGTGAGTCAATGAATGTAAATGCTTGTAATACTATAAGTGCTTAGACTAGTAAGCACTTGTAGATGTTAGCCTTTAGTGTCACTGTTGGTTTCACTTCCATTCTTCATCTACGTGGACATATCACTATTGGATTAATCTATTTCCTAGGGTTGAACTGCTAAGGGAATAGTGGGTCAAGGAGAAAAGTTAACACTGTATGTGAGCAATTTTAAAGCTAATTAGCTATTGGACAGTATATTGTGAAACAGAGAAGAGAACAAGCAATACATTTCCAGTTGTAAACTCTAATTGTGCAAATAAATTTTAAATTTGTTTAAAGTTTGCTTTTTAGAAGTTTTCCCCCTAGCATAAATATTTTTCCCCATAAAGACATAAGGTTAAAAATGAAGAGCAGGTTAGGTTAGCAGATTAAAGGTTTAATTTAAAAACGGTTTGCATGAATACTAAGAAGCTAATTAACTTCTAGGTGGGTTTTTCTTCTTAGCTCTCAGTGGGATTCTTGACTCTCCCATTGTCTCTAGGCTCTGTGTGTCTCCCACACTCCTCGTCTGCCTGCCATCCTGATGAGCAGAATGTGCGGGGCTGAAGTGTGCATTGGAGGCTGGGGGTTGCAGCTTCATTGGGATTCTGCTTTCTGCAGTGTCTGGGACTGTGGACCTTGGGAAGCTGAGCATCTTGATTTTCTCTTAGTGCCATCTTAGAAATGGAGGCGTCCTCTTCACTTGGCCAAGTCCAGTCACCTTCGCCTGTGGGGAAGGAGAGCTGGGGAGCACTCACTGCAGTCACCCCACCAGCACTCCGAGGGAGGGGTGCAGTGTATGGAGAAACGTCAGGAAGGGTCCCAGTCAAGTGAGCCATCTTTTTGAGTGAATGTTGGACTTCACAAACTGCTCCTATTTTTTCCTTCTTTTCTAGGGCTTTATGGACAGCAGCCTGCCAACCAAGTCATCATTCGTGAGCGGTATCAAGACAATGACAGTGACCTGGCGCTGGGCATGCTGGCTGGAGCAGCCACAGGCATGGCCTTAGGGTCTCTGTTCTGGGTCTTTTAGAGTCCTTGGAACCTGGATGTGCATAGCTTCTGATACCCTGTGTGCAATAATATAATTTGCAGGGCATTTCTGTTTGTTATAAATGTTTTTAGTTTTAGTAGTTCTTTTGAAAGTAGTGACATCATACTTATAACTAATCCATATATGTACCATGGAGAAGGCTTTGGACTGCTGTTAAAACGTGGACTATTTGGGGGCACTGGCTCATTCTAGGAGTTTTTTTATGGAACTCTCAGAATACCTTATTTGAACACACCTGTTTGGAAAGGGCATTTTCCTTTTAGAGTTAGGCCTTAGTGCTTAAGGGGTAGTTATTTTAGTGTTATGCGAGTAACGTCGTGATGTATGAGTGGTGAGTGATTGTGGCAAGAAGAACTGCAGCTGTTTTGATTTACTGCCAGACTTTGAAACCTCAGACCAGACCTGGATGCACGTTACTTCAGGAGTCGTAGGCTGGGACCTTCCTGAGGCAGAGGTGTGATATCGCCACAGCCTCTGGGGCTCTGCAGGCTTCCAGGAAAACCAACTGCTTAGGTTGATGGGCGGGATGGCAGATCCCCCGCTTTAAAATGATGCTTTTCATTTTATTTTTACTAGTTTGTTTTTGGTAGTGATCCTTGGAAAACATCCCAAATTAGGAGTAGACTTGAGTGTCAGTGTTTTAGGGCTTTATCATTTAAAGCTTGAACAAGACAAAACAATTACAAACAAGTGTGTAGAGGTAGATTTGCTTTATTCAGAGGCATCATGTTTTAAGAGTTTGCTTTGAGTATTTTTATTGCCACTTCAGCCTACTTATAGCTTATTTTTCTACTTGTTGAGAAAGTAATATTAAGAGAATGGTGAGGAAAGTAGAATGAGAGCCATAGTTACAGTGTTACTGCTTCAGGGGATTGGGCTGCACTGGGGGTCCTCTTTCCCACCCTTCTGAAGGCTGTTAAAGAGCCCGTTTCCTGTCCTGTGCAGGACTGGGGCGCTGTGGCTGTCCCTGAGCACTGGGGTGCGTGGAGCCCTGGTGGTGGCATGGTGGGGGAGACTCAGGTTACAGATGGGAGTTGCGGCCTAAGGACATGAATGACCTGCTCAGGGTATTACTCCACCTGACCAAGACACTGGCCTTGTTTTCATTCTTGACTCAAATGTCACAGAGAAGCTTAAAACCATTTAATTTGAGCCCCAACTATGTGTGAAGCTCTGAAAGACTTCGTGCATTTTTCTTATTTCTTTATTTATGTAAATTTTAAAACTTCAGTTATTCCAGTTTTCTGTACTGCATGCTTTAAAAAATGTACTTTTACAAAGGCAGTTTAGGGCATTGGAGGTCTCTGCCCCTGTACTCCATGTGGCCCTATTTTCCATAAAATACACTCCTAGTAGCACAAATTCCATTTTTATTCCATGTGGCCAGTTACATACATAGTCTTTTGTTTCATTGATCAACCCACTCCATCTCTAAGGCAGACTTAAATAGATCTATCTCCGTATGAAACCAGATGCCAAATGAACTTTGTGGTGACCACAGGTGTGTTTTCCTAGCCAATTCTATTGCACTTGTTGACACTGGAGAGTCTGTTTCCAGCTGAAAAGAAGTATACTTGACTGTCATCTCTTTGGATGTTTGACATGGTGGAAAGTTGCCAGATGTGATGTGTGATGACACTGGTTTTGATGGTTAAAAATGTTGCTTTAGTTATTTTACATCGTATGTAATAAGAATGGTTCTTTTCAGATGGTAATCATTATTCGAGCTGTATGTTTTACTTACAAAATACTAAACTCAGTTTTTAATGTTGCATCATTTTGAACTTGGAGTTACTGGAACCACCGGTACTGAGTTACGTCAGTGAAACGCCCTTGAAGCAGATGGTCTCCCTGTGTTTCCCTGGCTTCCCTCTGACAGAAGGGGGAGAGCTATGGACTGAAACTTGTGCACACATGTGCCCCCGCCATCTGCAGTCCGTGTCCCCAGCGGGGCCAGCCCCACTTGTCAACTGTAGTTGAGTCTTGAAGTTCACTGTCACTAGTGACTTGATCCTGAGAGGAAATGCATACTCTGTATAAAGATGGGCTGAGATACTTCATTTCCCTGGCCTCAGCTCTCATAGATGCTAGCACTTAGGTAATCCTAAATCAAGAAGGTGAGTTGGAAGGAACTTGTTCAGGTTTAGTCAGTATTTTTCTTCCATGTGTACTTTTAACTGGTTTGCCGTTGACATTGCACACATGCCAGTTGGCTTGTTTCTTAGTTCTGTTCTTTTCTTTTAATTCCTTGAGTTAACTTCAGGGTCTTAGATGTAAAGAGAAGGGAGAGACCCATGGTTGTTTCAGATCATCATTCATGAAATGGGCCAGACCGGGACACAAGATCTGGATCATGGGAGAGGTTCCTGCCATTGAGACAGAATGACCCACATTTATTTTCTACATTACTTGTGATACTGTGTGATCTATCTTTCTCCTTCCCAAGTTTTTGTAGACACCAGCATGGGATGCAGTTCCATTTTTTTCCCCTAGGGTTGATCTTTTTTTCTGATTGCTTGCCTGTCTCTAGTATTCTGTTGTGTCCTCAGAACCTATTTTTCCCTGTATATGCAAATTGTATGTTTATAAGTGAAAATGTTAATACATTAAATGATTGTTAACCTTAAAGCATATTTCATTGACTTCTATTGTTTTTTTAAAATTCAATTTATTTAAACTATAAAGATAAAAACGGTTCATGCGTTTCTCCCATCCCCCACCCCCTGGCTCTGACAACCATGAATCTGTTTTTTTTTTTAAATTTATTTTCTAGTAACACAGTCAGCTTTTTCTGCTGCATCACAGGCAATAAGAATGCCATTTATTGAGCATTCCATAAGTGCTAGGGAATGTATTGTCACATCAGAAAACAATAACTCATTAAATTCCTATATTAACTCCATAAGGGATGTATTATCCAAGTTACTCTGGATGAAACTGAGGCTCAGAAGTTAAATTCTTTTCTTGGGAGTGCACAGGTAGTAAATGAAACAGATTTATATCTGATATTAAAACATATTCTTTTTCCCTGTGCCATGTGTATATGAGAGTAATTTCCACAAGAACATCACAGGGGTCAGTACTTCTAGGATGACTATTAAAAAACTGACAGTATCTTCCTCAACCAGATCTACTTGACCTTGTGGGTTCAGTAACTTCTCCAATATCCTTGGAACACGACTTTGTGTTTTTGTTGTTTTGTTTTAAAAAATTATTTACATTTTTTTTCATTTCTTCATTACCTCACTCTCTTCCTGGCTAGCTTTTCTGTTTATCTTGCCTGTTGCAGACTTTGATTAAATTGTGATGTGTGGTTGCCTGTAATGGTTTAAGATTAGGAATCTCATACTAGAAGCTCTGGGCCTCTTGGTTTCATTTCTTAGGGAAGAAGTCTCTAGTATTTTGCCTGGAGACAGTTATTTCTGGATGTCGGGTAGGGGAGACACTCCACACAGCCTTCTAATTTTCAGCTGGACTTTATTCTCATCTTCCATCATGCTGGCCCTTGCTGCCTCTGGCTCTTTTTTTTTTTTAGTTTTGAATATATATATTATACACACACACACACACACACACACACACACACACACACACACAGCTTCAAAATGAAAAAAAGGATTCAGTATAGGTTCTTGCATCTGCCCATTTCCTATCTTCTCTTTGCTTAACCACTCATACTGATTTATTTAGCCTTCATGAATTTTTCTTCATGCATATATAAGCCAGAACAAAGATAAATTCTTATTTTTCTTCCTTTTTTTACAAAATAAGGGTAGTATATACACCAGTGGTACTCAAACTTCTTAGTCTCAGGATCCTTTTACAGTATTAAATTTTTGAGGCTTCCCAAGAGGTCTTTAAGGTGAGTTATATCTATCATTATTTACCATATTAGAAAATAAAATTGAGAAAGTTGAAAACTTTCTTAAGAAATGGTAAACCCATTATATTTAAAAAATAGACTTGATAAAAAATATTTTCCAATACAAAATCAGTGAGGCAGAGTGTTTTCATGTTTGAAAAAGTTTAACATCGGGCTTAATAGCTGGATTTGCCTGTTTGCTTATGAGTTCAGTCTGTTGTTACTTGTTTTTTGGTTGAAGTATAGAAGGAAATACAGCCTCACATAGATACATAGTTGGAAAGGGAGGACCTTGCAGACCCTCAGAAAGGGTCTTGGGTACCCTCAGGGGTCCTTGGATCATACCTTGAAAACTGCTGATGTATGCTGTTTTATCCTTTTTTTTTTTCACTTAACATATCTGAGGTATTTCTATATCAGCACGTAAGGAACTTGCCCATTCATTTTATTTGTCCTATAATTCATCCAGTACCCTTTTACTTTTGCTAAGAATGCTATAATGAAGGATACTGTACAAAAGTGACTCATCCCAGCGTGGGACTCTTGGAGGTACTGTGTTCTCTTTGATAGTGTGCAACTAGTGGATGACAGGGTTCCCTGGAGTGTAACTGTCTTGAGTGCCTCCAGGATGACACCAGGGCCTGGGACTGGGTGTTAGAGAACTGTATGCACAGAGGCTGACTGCTGTGATAAGCCACCGCAGGAGCTGAAGGCCAAAAGCTCTGCTGCTCAAGCCGCGTCCACTGTGGTTTGCTTGGGAGGGAGACTTCTGCCCCAGGTACTCATTTGGAGACCGCAGCTGCTTCTCTCCGGTGCCTTGGAGTCCTCAGGGAGCTTCTGCATCCTGCTGGCAGTGAAAGATGGTGAAGACACAGCCCCCTCCTCAGCTTGGCAGCAGTGCCCAAGGTTCTGCTGTCATTCCAGTGGGGAGAGCTAGTCAGGTGGCCCTGGTGCCATGCAGGAGGTCTGGGAGGTGTAGTCTGAGCTCAGGAAGAAGTCGCCCTGGCCAGAGCTGCTGCTGAGCCACAGTAAATGGTAAATACTGATGGTCCACTATCTTCAACACTCAGTGGAAGTCAGGCTCCTATTCACCCTCATTTGCACAGTATTTACTGAT